TAACGCAGCGACGGAGTAGGTCGAGACGGATCTCCGTGCTCCGATACCATGTTGATTTATGAATTCACTCTTAAGGAATAATTGTGTACATGGATGTTTATATAGGTGAGGATCCCTACATGGACTAGGATTCACCAAATAAGTAAACTAACATAAATAACAATTCTACTATAACTAGACTTCTTTCCATATATGTCTAACAAAATTTTTTCCTTTTTGAATTTAGTGCTATGTGGGCCGTTTTTCCATCATCTCCGATGGAGCCAAAATTTCACCTGTTTTTGGCTTTGGGGTGTGATGAAATAAATCAAAATGGATATCTAAACTATTTGTGCTTCTTTAATTAATGAAGTAGCAGTTAGTCAAGCAATGCAACTTTCGACGTTGAGCCGGGGGTCTCTTTGGAAACAGCCTCTCTACTTTCGAGTAGGGGCAAGGTCTGCGTACACACACCCTCCCCAGACCCTACTCTTGTGGGATTTAACTGGGTTGTTGTTGTTGTTGTTGTTGCTGCTATGTGGGCCGTATGGATTCTTTAGAATTGTATGATTTCTTACTTTCTAAGTTAAGGGCATATTTGGAAAGTCAAGGCATATTTTAGAAACCCTTAAAAACCACCTCGAGTCAGACCGGGAAGGTGGTTTTAGGACGGGTGGAGTAACTTATAGAAAAAACATTTACTACTTATGTAATTATACTTTATACCCACTCCGTCCCAAAAAAATAGTCTTAATTACTATTAGATGTCAAACTAATCTCACTTTATTTATACATTTTCATCAATTATTTGAAAAAAAAATAACCTTCTTATCGTTAATTGTAAAACATTTGTTGTAATTTTTAAATTATAATTTTTATTTTTTAATTCTACATCAATCTTTACTTATATTGATTTAAAATCAACTTCGGTTAAACATCATAAACTAAACAATAACATTGTTTTGGGATGGAGGGAGTATGTTACATGCTTTTATTTTAAATATCACACCGTCACATAATGTGTGCAATTCTATCTTTGTAGGTTTCCTTTCATACATAATTGAATTAATTTCCTCTAATATTCTTAATTTTTTTAAATAAAAAAGAAAACTAAAAATGGAAGAAAAAATAATAATCTGAGTGTGGAAGATACGGATAGTTAATTAAAATATTTTAATTAGTTATATTATTTAGTAGTTAGTTATTACGGAGTATTATTTATAAGTATTTTATAGATTAGGGTTTTTGTATGGGCCCGAGCCCATTAGGTCATGTAGGTGTGACGTCTCATATCTATATATTGTAATCCCGTATCATTATCATTAAATCAATCAATAATCAAGAATTTTCTTAATATCTCGTCTCTCTTTTCTTAGAGCCCGGAAACGCTCGAAGTTTTCCTTCTCCCTTTGCCTCCCATTTCTTAGAGCCCGAAGACGCTCGAAGTTCTTCCCTATCTGATACGATATTTGTATCAATTGGTGCTCTTGTTGAGAGAAACACCAACAAAGAAACCAAAAAAAATCGAGACGATCTAATAGTTGCCGCCGTGTCCCAACCGCCCAAATTTTCTCCGATCTGAAAAGTAGAAAGCTTTGGATGTGTCGATCTTTTTGCCATCATAGGTTATCATCATTGTGGCCAATTTACCGTCAGGAATCTTAATCGCACCAATATTGATTGTCGGCATCTCTGCGGAGTCTCCATCTTTCCCAAACGTTGCTGCCGCCGCTGCACTTGATTTGATTTGTCCCAAACGTCGCCGCAACCAAGCTTTTTGTGAGAAGTTTTTTTGGGCTAATTCAAATTCAATTTGGGTGCTGCAACTTGTGGTGTTTTACCAACAACTACAAAAAAGTGACAAAATCACAACTACTACTGCAGCACAAAATTATATCGCAGGGAAAAAAATGGGACCAGAATCACCAGAGTCGAATTGTTTTTTGGATTGTGTTGATTGGTCGCCTCTGACCAGATTCGTTGTTTTTGCCAAATACAACAAGATTTTTCATTACGAACGGAGGCCCAATTCGCGCGCTTAGAGGCTTTGATTTTCTGTAAATGTACACTGGACAAGCTTATTAATTTTCAAGAGAATGTTCTATATGGAGAAATTGAGCACGACGAAGGAGTGTGCACACTTTACGATTACATTGATGAAATGATAACGAATCTTCACTCATTTCGTCCTATTGAAGGTAAGTCAAATTATGATTCTAACTTACATGCATTTGACATTGAAATCACTTGCGCGATACAAGATTTGGTTCGTGGTCCCTCAATTTGGCCGATTTTGATTCTCTTGGAGTTACAAAATTTCAGAACAAACATGATGAATGCCATCCGAAACCTTATCAATGCATCGCTTTCTCCACCAAATGTACTATGGCTCATATGGTCACCATACAAAACACTGAGTCTCATGAAAAGGAGTCAAAGGATGACTCAAGCATAGAATCATATGTTGGGGATAACATGGATAGTGGGCCTGAACTCATAAATGCAGATGATGAGGGTTCCGAAGATAACATGGACAGCGGGCATGAACTCATAAATGCAGATGACGAGGGAACCAACATTGTGGGAAAAATAAAGAGTTTGCCCTTTTAGAAAGTGTGGACAAGGTGGGAGATGAAGATTGTATCCACGCCGATAACTCAATTTCATTGGACACCATCGCGTTGTTTGACATTGTTGGTATTGTCAAGTCTAAACACCTGGTTTCAAAGAAAATAGTTCGATGCATTGTTGGTCTTCTTTTTTATTTCTGCCTTTATATTTCACCAGAGAAGCTTCATGAAGATTGATCAACAAATGAACGTCTTTTCTTGTTCAGCACGTTCTCACATGTCCAAAAGCTTGAGTGGGAACCTCCACCTTGAGGATAAGGTGGTTTTTAAGGGGGGGAGAATGATACGGATAGTTAATTAGAATATTTTAATTAGTTATATTATTTAGTAGTTAGTTATTATTATTTATCACTATTTTATAAATTAGGGTTTTTGTATGGGCCCGAGCCCATTAGGTCATGTAGGTGTGGCGTCTCATCTCAATATATTGTAATCCCGTATCATTATCATTAAATCAATCAATAATCAAGAATTTTCTTAATCTCTCGTCTCTCTTTTCTTGGAGCCCGGAAACGCTCGAAGTTTTCCTTCTCCCTTTGCCTCCCATTTCTTGGAGCCCGAAAACGCTCGAAGTTCTTCCCTATCCGATACGATATTCGTATCAGTGGATCACAAAAATAGCAATTGACATGGGAAAAAATAAAATAGGCAATATTGAAATAATTTATTAAGCACATAACAAAACATAAAATTCGAAGAAAAAATTATTTTAACACCTTTTATTTTTTCAACATTTTTTAACTCATTTTTTGAAGAGTTGACTTCTGACCACTCAAGCCAATAGAGAACTAGTTTCGCTGGTTTAATTAAATTTAAATTATTTATTTATTTCCTTTTACTCTAACATTGCAAATTTTCACACATACTTAGTTTTGGAATATCTTTGATAGTTTTTCAAGATTAATTACGATGGTTCGTTGAGGCAAAAGTTTAATTATTCATTTTCACAATGTTCTATATGAATAATTTGTTAATGGTACCTTCAAAAAAAATTGCTAATGGTAATAGTATTTGCAATCCATAGTAACTTAAAATTAATTAAGAACATCTTTAGTATATAATAATTGTGATAATGGTGATGTGAATTGAGAAAAATGCGGAAAAAATTAAAGTGAAAAAGGAAAAAGAGGGGGAGTTGGTATGTCGTACAACTATATATGTATAGTACTCTAAGTACATCCATCGGATACTCAATCTATAGTAATAGAATTTCATTTCTCAAATTTTGAATTTTTTTGTATACGGAGTATCTGTCAAATATTTATTTTCTCAAATATTTAAAAGTATATGTATACACATTTGAGAACTATATAACGTTTGTTACAATTATGCAAAATAAAATATACATTTACGAGTGTTACAAATGCTCATACGGATATATTAGAGAGGAAAGATGAACGGCCCAAAATGTAATAAACAATTATGAATTTATAATTTATTTAGAATATTATGGAGTATAAAATAAACAAAACTAGAGAATAAGTTTCTGGATCTTGGCATTGCCGCATGAGGATATTATGCACTGGACTGCAAAGACATTATGTACCGCGCTAAAATAGTAAGCCTCGTACTAGGACACTGTGAGTAGTGGCGAGTTCTCTAGAACAGCAACAATGACAATATGGCTAGAACTAGAATACTAGTGAGGACATTATGACTTGGGCCAAGATGCAATAAAGTCACTGTGAACAAAACCTGCAAAAACTAAACATCATGGAAGGGCAACGAAGTCGTCGGAGTTGTCCTTAAGGTAGTAGTATCCGCCTACTGTGCCGTAAAAATGTGGGCACTCTCCTTGAGGATAAAACTGCTATCGTATGTGGTAGTTGTACGAGCCAACCGTACACCAACGAACAAAAACATCATTGGGTTATTGCCTACTCAAAAAGTTAACAATAAAAGAGATTGTTGATAATGTGTATGCAATATGCTCACTCTCTCAAAACTACTCCAAAAATCGAATCTCAAATGCATGTGTGGAAAATCCCATTCCATTGCAAATTTGTGTGCATTTCAAATAAACTTATATTTCGTCGCAATTTTTGTCGCATATAGCGACGAAATGCATTCTGTCGCAATTATTAGCAAATTTAGATAATTCTTGTAGTGAGATTACGACTCAGGAGTTAATAGACCGGTTGCTGATTCACTTGGGTCTGACACACCAAGTGGGGGATAAACTGGCAAAACTAAAGGGCTCACGTGACCTTCTTTGTAGTGTAAAGCCTGACATGATACACGAATGGTTATAGTAGAAGTGACGACATCATGGCTACAATGGACTTGAGAGGGGAATGACTACAATAAAGTAAAATAATTTACCTTTTGTCCCCTATAAATACTCGTGTAATCCCTCAAGAAAGAAACGAGAATTAGAGATAGAAAATGAGCATCAATCGGAATTGGACTCTATACTCACGTAAAATATAATATCCGGGCTACATGTGTTCCCACATTTAATCCTTCCGAAATCTCATTTTAAATAACCATTTAGTTCTATATCTTGGACCTTGTCCAATATAAAGAATCTAGCTAATTAATTTACACCATCAATGTGTGTTTATTTAAATAATTTTGATGAAATACATTATTTTTATTTTATACGAGTATATTTTATGATAATTGAAATAGTTTTTTAGAAGAATTTAAAATACTCCCTCCGTCTACTAATAAATTTCTCGTTCACTATTCATAGGGTCAAACTTTATTTACTTTGTTGGTCTATTTTCGTCACCCATTTGATAAAATAATATAGTTATGTCACCTCTAGTTTTTTAGATTTTTTGAAATAGTTTTTAATATGTAATTTTTATTTTTAAATTTTACACTATTTTTCATATAAAATAATTGTAAAATAAATTTAGTCAGATATAATTTAAATGTAGCTTCTCCATTCGATGACCTAACT